CCCGCCTCCCCGCGGCAGCCGGGAAAGAGGACAGTCGTCCCTCGCCCTTCCTGGGGGTGGGGGCTGGCGCGGGCCGGTCTTCTCCGAGACCCGGGATCAGGACTTGGGGAGGCGAACCCAGAAGGGGCGAATGTTCTGGCTGGCTCGGCCGGGCGGGGCACCCCTGCCCGTTTCCTCCCTCTCCGCCTGCCCGGTCCGCCACCCCAGCTGGGGTGCCTGGGGATGTCAGTGAGTGTCGCATGTTACCTAGGAGGGGGCACCGGAGAGCCAGGCAGAGCGCGCCCCGCGGGCCCCTTCTCTGGGGCCACTTTGGGACTCCACGTGGGGCTCCTCCAGCTGGAGTCAGGAGTCCCTGGTCACGTTTCAAGCTGACCGACCCAGGAAATGGTAAAAGGTAAAAGGGACAGTGAGACTTTTCTAGTCACTGGGGGACGTGGATGGGGGACGGGGGGACCGGTGAACATGCCTTGCCTGAGTGTAGCTGACTGTGACAGTTCCCTAGCATCTTTTTATAAGGCTACTTTTATTTTTCCCATTTTTCAAATTATTTCACACTGCGTGATTTGGAAAAATAGGAAAGAGGAAAAGGAAAAAAACACTATTTTCACCGGTCATTTCATCTCTCAAAACCTGTCTTCTTAGCTGTGTCTCTGCCACTTGCCTATGACTGGGCGCTCTGGGGACCTGGCCTCTGTCACACACACCCTTTCGATTGGTTTTGCTGTTCTCTACCTTTAATCTGAGGAATCTCGATTCCTCCTGGAGCAAGGCAGCATGTCTTACAAGAAGTGGAAAGTTCAGAAACGACAGCTCTCTTGGCGCCTTTGGTAGGGCACCTCTGACTCCGGATCCCAGCTGCTCTTCAGGGAGGGTGTTAGACTGAACAGTCACTGTCTCCTCCCAGCACCAGCATTCTGGTGGCGTGCTCACACTCCAGAAAGTTCTAAATGCTGCCTTTTCTGCTCCATTTCCAAATGTAGGAAAGCCTAATTTTAAGATTTTTGACTTATTGTGTAATATATTTATATTTTCTTTAAAAACTGTTTGTTTATGAACAATAGTTGTTCTTGATAACTTGTATGGATTAGAAGATAAACAGATATATATAACACCTCACTTAGGTCACTGACTTTCACTTAACTATTTTGGAAGAATTTCTTTATTATTTCTATATTGTACAACTATAAAATCATTTTGTCACTTATGGAAAATGCTGAATATTATTAAATCACTTTTCTTCACTTACAGCTTTTTCACTCACAGATCTCATGACTCATTCATGAGCTATGTGGTTCTTTCATATAAAGCTTCAGGTTTTACCAAGTTTATATTTATCTGGGCATGAGTGATTGTGAGAGAAGTTGCCCACAGAAACTCAGAGCCATTCACTTTCAGTTTTGAGATAAAGACTTGGTGACATTCCAGGAATGGACGTTGCCTTCAGCACACCAGTTCAGTGCTGGGTCTGTTCCAAGTGGACAATTCCAGAAGGACATTCACATGGATGGATGGAAGAAGTTAAGCTGTCCACCATGACTTCCCTGCAGGACCTGGTCGTGGGCATCCTGATTCCTCAAAATGGGTATTGGCACATGGACCTTCAGGCGGGTTTCTGTGCACTCCCGCTGTGCTGTCCAAGAGTGGCACTTCCCAGGCCTTCTGCCAAGAAGCCTCAGTGGCAGGACAGTGATGACAGTGGACACTGAGGCCAGTGGAGCTTGGAATCCACAAGCAGCCCAGTCCCAAAGTATGAACCATCTACCCTCAGCCCTCCTGGCCTCTCACCGAGGGGAGGCGTGGGTGTGTCTGCCTCCATCATCAGGTGACTTGAATCCATGTTGGCCAGGCTCTGCTGACAAACAGCTTCTCTAAAGCAAATCCCATCAGTAGAAGCATGTCTTCATGGGTCCAGAATTGCCCTCTAGTAGGTGGCCCCTGGACTGCATCTGACTCTGAGATGTCCTTTCTGTCCTAGTAACTGCAGTGGTCACACTGTCTTGGGCATTTCCCAGCAGGAAGCGATCCCTGCATAATATTCTTACTATCTTGGGGAATGTACGTACAGTTTGGAAAATAGAAAAAATATGCACTTGAAAACAAAACAAAACCCCTAGGTGAACCAGAAGCATCTAGTTCCATCAGCACGCCTCCCTGCGCTGACATGACCCCTCTGAGCACAAGCACGTGCTGACTCAGTAGAGTCCCCGGGGATGGGGCTGTGGGTGGCCGCGCCCATGAGAAACAATGGGACGTCTCCAGGTGCTGGAAATGTTGAAGAGGCTGAACACGGGGTGGGTTGAGAGGCAGGTGCCACAGCCAGGCTGATAGAGGTTTGGGTTTTATCGCCCACCAGGGATGGGGACAGGAATGAAAATGAAGCTGTGGTCCATGACTCCTTCAGATTTGATAATTCCCTCCCTTTCTTTTCTCTTTTTTCCTTCCCTTGTTCTCCTCCTTCCCTTCCTCCCTATCCCCTTCTCCCATTTCCTAATACTGTACCTATTAGCACATACAGACCTTCTCCAACTTATGATGGTTCGACTTAGGATTTTTTGACTTACAGTGGGTTTATTGGGACACAGCCCCATTGTAAGTTGAGGAACACCTGTATTTAAATGCTGAGGGACAAATTCCCACCATCCTTTTTTGCAAGGCCTGTGGCCATCTCTGCTTTATGGTCGTTTGGGTAAGCAAACTGCAGAACGCGTCCTGATCTGTATGATATTTTGTGGGTAAAATCAAAAAGGCCTGGTGGTGGATCGCCTGTTAAGTGTCAGGGACCTGTCTCTCAGAACTCTGGTAAACTAGGAGGCAAATGCACATTTAAATCAGACTGCATCTCACAAAGGACTGAGCAACATTTGTGTTTTCACCTCTGTGTCGGGTGTGTTGGTTCACAAGACACTTAATGAATCATTGACTTTAGCATTATGAGGAAGCTCTAAGACCCAGACCAACAGCAGCAATAACAACTTGCCCGGGAGCAGACAGTTCCCTCACGGCAGGTGAATCTGTGCCCTCAGTGCCCACTGCCTCCCCCACCCCGGAACTGCCTCTCCAGGAGTAAAGTCCCTTTACAGCAGTACCTCTTACACTGGCGCCTGAGGGCGGGTGAGGATGAAAGGCTGCAGGGCGGCAGGGGAGCCGTGGGCTGGGATTGACATAAGCACATCCACAGCTGCGACTTGCCATCTGTCTCTAGGTGCTCTCAAGGCTGTGTTCCTAGTCTTCACCTCCATGTGTGCCTGGTATTTGGGGTACCTGTTAGCAGAGCTCATTCCAGACACGTCCCTATCAAGCGCTGTCTATAACATCCGGAGCATTGGTGAGAGACCCATCCTCAAAGGTGAGTGCCGGGGGTGGGGCAGTCCAACGACTTTGAGGCTTTGCCACTCTTCTGCAGTGGTAGGAGTGGTGGTTCCGGTCTCAGCTGTGCCCCACCTGACTGCCTTTTATTGGTGCTGAGGAGAGGAGGAGGAGAAGGAGGAAGGTGCCTTGCAGACATTCACCCATTCAGTTCCCTCACCTTCCGAGGTAGATGCCACTTCTCATCCCCACATTAGACGTGAACTGTCTGGCCTCAGGTTGCCCTGCCATGACTCCAAACCTGCGGTCTGACCTTGAACTATCCTCTTTAGGCTCCATGTCTCACCTTCCTGCTATGTGAAACACAGGAGGGGCCCTGGTTCTAAGTTCGAGTCATTTGAAAGTTTCTAAATGATGGAACAGCTGTTTGGAAGCCATCTTTAAAATGTTGGGAAGCAAAATCAAGTAATTGAGGAGATGTGAAAGAAACATCAGATGCTGAGAAGGCACTTTGTGTCTGTAGACAGAACTGCCCCTGACCATCAGCTTAGAAAGGCTGGGCTTTGTGGCAGGCTACCTTGGCTCCTTTCCGCCGTTCAACCTGCATTTTTCAGGGCCTGCTACACACCAGGCCCAGTCCAGGAGCTGAGGAGACTGAGGCCCCTGCCCTTTCTGCAGTGATTCTCTAGAGAGGGGAGACAGCAATTTAGAAAATGAACAAATGCCATCTAGAGGGGATGGTCAGGGAAAGTCTCTGAGAAGGTAACAATTGAGAAGAGGTCTCGGTAAAGCAAGAGAGTGAGTGCGCATATTTCCCAGGACTGTTTGCAAGGTTGGCTTAGAACTAGCCTCTTAGTCCATTTAGGCTGCTGTACCAGAATACCATCGACTGGGCGACAGACATTTATCTCTCACAGTTCTGGAGGCTGTAACTCCAAGATCTGGAAGTCAAAGATCAAGGCGCCTGCAGATACTGTGTCTGGTGAGGGCCCGACTGCTGCTTCACAGACAGCACCTGTTCACTGGGTCCTCACAAGGCACAAGGGGTGAACGAGCTCTCTGGGGCCTCTTTTGTAAGAGTGCTAACCCCCTGCATGTGGGCTTCACCCTCATGACCTAATCACCTCCCAGCCACCACACCTCCAAATCCATCACACTGGGGGTTAGGTTTCAATACATGAATTTGGGAGAGGACATAAACATTTAGTATACAGCACATGGGCTGCAAATTGGGGCCCAGAAGACAGATCTGGAGTACGGACAAGATTTGTTTAAAAACAAAACAAGTAAAATGTGGACTGATACTTAAAAACCAGGGGATTTTACACAAAACCCTGGATTTTATAGCATCTCTTGAAACATCAGAAGCACTGGAACCCCAGGCCCCCCTTCCTGTGAGGCAGTGGTCAGCCACAGCTGGGCAGGCTACCAGTACAACAGAGCCAGCGACCAGCCAGCACCAAAGGCATTTGTGCAGGCAGCCCAGGTTTAAATTCACAGGCATACGGAAGGAACAAGGAAAATCTAGGCCCTTGTACTTTATACATAGCAATATTATGTACAGGTGACACTAAACACTGTTATTTGCTTCCTGGTTCCAATTTTATTTTAGAGTACATATTCCTGGAAAGGTTGAGTTGTTCAGAAGGAAATGCCTATTGTTAAAGTCTATTTGTTCATTAATTCAGCAGGTATTTTTTAACAACCGCCCTGTCTGTATCATAGTCTGAGTGTGTGTGCTTTTAAGGTTTACCCTTTACCTCTGAGAATCTCACAGTCTACTAGAGAAGAACTTAAAAGCCAGATCATAAGTTAGGAAACTGAATGGAGAAACTTTATGTGCAGAATGTGTTCAATAAAAATAAGCATTTGGAATAAAACTCAAATTGGAAACAAAGTGAAATTATAAAAGATCTATTGAAATTATATCAAAAAACTATGGCCTTTTTCATAATTTCATTGGAAATAGATATGCTGGGATGTTTTTCAGACAGAAATAAAGTATAGAAAATAATTTGCACAAATATAAAAAACTGGGTAATGATAAAAGAAAATTTCTGTAGAAGCCATTCCTTTTCAAATTGATTGCCTTTTATGGCCCCCACCAAAAAAGAACTTTATAGGAATTGACTATGACTGAGGTATTTATTTTTAATAAGATTTCAGCACTGAATTTGCCTGTAATCGCACCTGTTCACTGCATATATACTGTGGATGAGGCACAATGCCTGTGGGGGACATAGGAGATGACCTCAAAGGGCTTGCTGTCTCTTTCATTTGATTGGTTTTCACACAGCATAAAGTCTGTCCTGGAGATGGTGTTTCTGAAGCCAGTCACTTAACGGGGTCATTAGTGGGGCGGGCCAGGGATACCCGTCACCCTCTTCCTACCCAAAAATGGTGGGAGATGGGTGGCAAGGGGTGGCTCTGGTCATGACAACTGCGTCCTGGCTCTTTCTGGCTTGGAACCTGCACTTTGGAGGGACACGTGACTGCTTAGGGACTTGCTGGGCTCAGAGTTTGGGGACTGAGCATAATGATTTGTAGTTCAGTGCTAAAGTGGATGACAGATTAGAACAGGGAATGTGTGGTCCACAGGTCCATACTGGTTTTTGGCAAAGTTTATTTGGTGCTGTGTCACTGGTGAGGCTGGCGGGGAGGCTTTTAAGGAATGGCCTCACTCAGAACACAGCTGCCCTCTCGTCCACGTGCTGCATGCACAGCCTCTTGGAGCCACTGCTCCTGAGACCTTCTAGGAGCCCTGCATCCCCCTCAGACCACTCATCACAAGGCTTATATTGCTGAACAGGCAGGAAAGATTGCAATTTCCCTGACTCTGGAGAAGATTCAAGGATTGAGACACAGTTGCTGGAATCAGCACAGGCTCTGGAAATTCTGTTACTCTTTGCTCAGGTAGGGTGACTCTGACGCGCTTCTGGAGAGTGTTTGTTTTAAATGTGCACAAGTCCCCCAGTGCCTTTACAGGTAGTGAGTGACATACTTGACCAGAATCTGAATCACAGGAATGAACACGTTGGCAGGTAAGATGAGTACTGAGAGAAATAAGCCACTGAATACGAAAACTAGAAAACTAACAGTTCAACACGGTTGCTAGAAATAGACTGAAACTGGGAAGCCAGGATCGCACAGATAACCTACCAGTCCTCGAAAGGACTCATGGAATTCCTTCTCTTCAGACGAGGGCCCTGTGTTCCTTGCATTTCCCGTTTGGCAGGGGATGATGTCAGTGTTTGTGGAAAACGAGGCCAGCCACGCCGTGCTGGACTGGCTACCGAGGCTGCGGGTGCTGAGGCCAGGCCTGGAAGGACGGATCCGATAGGACGGATCCGATAGGACTGATGACATAAATTGAGAGGAGGAGCCACACAGGAGACGCAGTCCTGAGAGGAGGACGTGATGGGATCCAAGTGACAGAAATGTGGAGTAATCAGCGCTTTAGGGACTTTTTGAAAGAACCTCATGGGGCAGAGAAGAGTGGCCCATTAATTTCTCTAAATGCTGGGTGTTTGTACTTAATGCAGCCTTATGGATAGATTGGAACGGGTCTTGGTCTATGAACTAGAAAAGAGTCAGAGGAACCTGGCTCTGCTGCACCTCCGCTGTTCTGGTCAGGAGCTGCCTCCAGCCTGCAGGGACTGCATGTGTCTTATTCTAAATTTGTTTCATCCTATCTTCCTTTAGAAGTTTGTTATTTGTTCATCATGGTTGTTTTGCATTCATTTTGATTTTTTAAATATTACATTGAAGTGTTTATTTTGATTCCTGAGCTTCTGGGTACCCCTTAAATTGTGCCCAAGGCCAGCATCTCAGTGGCCTCACCCTCATCCCAGCCTGGCCAGCTCCCACCCCTCTGTCAGACACACTGTAACTATATGCACATGTGGAAGAAGGGCTAGAAACGTCCCAGTGCGAACACACCTGGTGAAAAAAGGGGCTGTGCCAATCAAGGGAAAGAAGTGCACATGGATGGCGAGGGGCACTGGGAGGCGCCAGGCATGCCCTGTGGGCTTTGGCACCACTGAGACCATTTCTAAATGTGATGACCGCCTTTTATATGGTGTGGGCAGATACAAATGGACAAAGACAGTCAGGCCTGTCCCAGGATTACTGTGTAAATGGTACAGGGTGGGAAGGGCGGGGACGCCAAGGAGGGACACTCCTCGGATGACAGAAAGGTAGATGCTGAGCTTTGAAGTCCTTAAATCCATCTTGAGTGCAACTTAATACATTAATCCAAGTGACGCTGTTAGAGGATTATCCAGTGGGACCGTGGCAGAAACAAGATGTGGTCAGCAGAGTAAGAGAAAACTGAAGGGTGACAGACCACTTTCTTAATACTGGAATGGCTGTCACTGCAGAAGTGAATGAGGCACGTCTTTCCTCTCGTGGCAGAAACAAGATGTGGTCAGCAGAGTAAGAGAAAACTGAAGGGTGACACACCACTTTCTTAATACTGGAATGGCTGTCACTGCAGAAGTGAATGAGGCACGTCTTTCCTCTCGCTCTAAGAAAAGCAGACTGAGCCAGGTTCAGCAGCAAGCTAGAGGACACAGCCAGGGGATGAGTCAGTGCCAGTAATTTCTAGTAATTAGGTTTTTGAAGAGCAGAACAGGCTGCCAAGGATCCCGAGGAAAGCATTCCTGCTGTGTGAAGAGGGACCACTGAGGTCCTTTCCAATACCAGATTCAGTTCTTTCTCCCCCAAATCAATCCTTTAACTACATCTAGCACAATGTGGTAGTCCCCGACATTGCTGTCCTGGAGTCCCCAAACTCCTGCACGAAGCAGGCCATACAAATTTGTAGGCAAACACAGTTTTCGAGTCCTGTCAGAAAATGACCAAGGGAGTTTTCTGTGTTAAGAAATTCTATGCTATAACATTTTGTATGTTTTATAGAATAATATAATACATATACTTTTATAGTGCTTTATGAATTTAAAAGCAAGAAAGCATAGACTCTTTATCCCAAAGTAGCTTTTTTTAAATCTCTTTATTAGGTGTAGAGTCTTGGTAGGAGTG